GATTCAGTGCTATTCCAATAAAAATTTCAATGATATTCTTCAAAGAAATAGAACAAATATTGATGAAATTCATATGGAGCCACCAAAAACCCCAAATAGCCAAAGCTCTCCTGAAAAAAAAAGAAGGGAATGGAGGCATCACTCTTCCAGATTTCAAACTATACTACAAAGCCATAATAATCAAAACAGCATGCTATTGGAACCAGAACAGACACATGGGCCAATGGAACGGAATAGAAAATCCAGAAATAAACCCACAGATTTACAGTCCACTAATCTCTGACAAAGGAGCAAAGAATATGCAATGGAGCAAAGAAAGTTCATTCAATAAATGGTGCTGGGAAAACTGGGTTGCTACATGCAATAGAATGAAGCTTGACTACTACCTCACACCATGCATAAAAACCAACTCAAAATGGATTAAAGAACTAGACATAACACTTGAAACCATAAAATATGTGGAAGGACATATAGACGAAACACTATATGACATACACCTCAGCAACATCTTTAAAGACTCATCACCCAAAGCAGTGACAGTGAACGCAAAGATAAACAGCTGGGACTACATCAAATTAAAGAGCTTCTGCACAGCAAAAGAGACAGTAACCAAAACACGTTATGTATTTTTTTAAACATTTTAAAAAAGATTTATTTATGTTTGTTTGTTTGTTTGCTTTTTTATTTATTTATACAAGCACTGGGTACAGTCAGAAGTGCGGGAGGGTGAGAGAATTCATCAGAGTCAGGGCGGGGAACAGAACAGGCAGAGTGGTTTTTTGTGGTTCCATGTGAATTTCATCAGTATTTGTTCGATTTCTTTGAAGAATGTCATTGAGATTTTTATTGGAATGGCATTGAATCTATATATTGTTTTTGGTAGGATGGACCTTTTAATAATGTTAATTCTTCCAATCCATGAGCAGGGGATGCATTTCCATTTCTTTGTGTCTTCTTCTATTTCTTTTAACAGTGTTTTATAGTTTTCTTTGTATAGGTCTTTCACCTCTTTTGTTAGGTTTATTCCCAAGGATTTGATTTTTTTTTATTTCTTTTATAAAAGGGATGGTTTTCTTGATTTCTTCTTCTTCAGACTGATTGTATATAGGAAGGCTACTGATTTTTGTGTGTTGAGTTTGTATCTTGCTACTTTACTGAACTGGTTGATTATTTTAAGTAGTTTTTCTGTGGAGTTTTTAGGGTCCTCTATGTATATCATCATATCATCTGCAAAGGGTGTTAGTTTTACTTCTTCATTCCTTATCTGGATTCCTTGTATGTGTTTCTCTTGTCTTATTGCCCTGGGTAGGACCTCCAGTATTATATTGAAGAACAGTGGTGAGAGAGGACATCCTTGTCTTTTTCCTGATCTTAAATGAAAGGCCTTCAGCTTTTCGCCATTGAGAAAATATTGGTGGTGGGTTTGTCGTATATGGCTTTTATCATTTAAGGTATGTTCTTTCTATCCTGAAAATTTCAAGGGCCTTCATCATAAAAGTATTTTGGACTTTGTCGAATTCTTTCTCAGCATCTTTTGATATGAAAATATGGTTTTTATTTTTCTTTTTGTTGATGTGTTGGATTATACTTATGGATTTTCATATTTTGAACCATCCTTGTGCCCCTGGGATGAATCCCACTTGATTGTGGTGTAATACACCAAGCTATACTACAAAGTGGGAAAGCTTTTTGTAAAGAGGATTCTTAATTTCTTCTTCTTTTATTTAAGAGGTCTATATCTTTGTGATATTACTATACACCACAGTATGTGTGCTGTCTCTGTTTTGGATCAAGTACTATTTGTGAAAACACTTAGAGGAAATAAGTCATCTCCGTGGCTTGGTAGTTATATAGTTCCATTTGCTCTGGATAGTACTTTGTATATAATAAAAAATCTTCATACTTTATATAGAAATTTATTCAAAATGATCTTAAATATAAAATGTAAAACTAGAAAAATTTTAGACAAATTCATGGGAGACAGTCTTGGGAACCTAAGGGTTGGTGAACAGTTCTTAGATGCAGCATTAAACTCAAGATCTATATAACAGACTGAATTACGCTCTCCTTCAAATATCCATGCTCTAATCCCCAGAACTTGTGCATTTGTGTCCCCTTTACATGGATAAAGGGACTTTGCATGTGTGATTAAGTTAAAAGATCATGAGATTATCCTGTATCATTTTGTGAGCCCAGTGAAAACCACAAGGGTCCTTACAAAGGGAGACAGGAAGGTAAGAGTCAGAGAAAGAGATGTGATAACAGAAGCAGAGGTTGTAGTGATGGCCTTGCTGGAAGAAGGTCATGAACCAAGGGATATAGACTGTCTTTCTAAACAGGAAAAGGAAAAGAATGGATTTCCCTTGAATCATCCATAAAGAACACATCCTTGCCAACACCTTGATTTTAGTCCAGTGAGACTCCTTGCAGGCTTCTTACCCCCAGAATTGTAGAATAATGAATTCATTGTTTTAAGCCACCATTTGTGGTAATTTATTACAGCTGCAATAGTAAACTGAGAATATATAAAAGAAAAATTTGATAAATTGAACTTCACCAAAACTAAAAACATTTCCCCTGCAAAAGACACTGAGAAGATAAGTTATAGACTGAGAGAAGGTATGTGTAAACCACAGGACCAACAAAGGACTAGTATTTAGAATATATAAAGAGCTCTCAACAGCAAAAGGCAATCAATCCAATTAGAAAAGGGACAAAAACATAAGAGACATTTCACTTAAGAGGATGTGTGTGACAGCAAATAAGCACATGAAAAGATTTTCAATATCATTAGCTATTAGGAAAATTATAATGTAAGGGCCTGAGGATTAGCTTGTTTGATTATAATGTAAGTGACTGAGGTTTAACTTTTGATTCCTGAGGCATCCATTTCAAAGACATCCATCTGGAATAAACACATTTAGTGACCCTTCCCATGCTTCAATTTAATTTAATTTCTGTTATCATGTTTTAAATTCATCAGAAAAGACTGACCCCGTAAAACCCTAGCTACCCCACCTTTTGTCCAAATAAAGAAAGAACCCCAGCTCTGTGTGCTCTCATTCTCTTTACACCTCACTGTGTGGCTCTGGGTGTGCCATGCGTCCTCCAGGCACCTGTGAGTAAGAAACCTTATATTTCATTTCCTGATGGCTATTGCTGTGGTGCCTCTTGTAATCATGATAAGAACCATCAGGGCTGGTCCAGCCACAACTTTGGCTTCAGCCAGGGAGGTAACTGTGAGGGCTCACCAGAAGTAGTAGGGGCCCAGGTGAGGGCCCCCTGGCATTTCTAGCCCATACTTTTGCTATTGATATGCTGAGACTGATTCTAAACAAAAATGCAAACTGAAACAACAAAAAGATATCACTACACATGTATCAGAATGACTAAAATAAGAGAAACTGAATCCCTTAGACATTGCAGATGAGACTAAAATTGTACAGCCATTGTAGAAAATAGTGTGATCTCTTCTAATAAGAGCAGACACGCAATTAACATATGGCCTGGCAATTGCATTCTTAGGCATTTTTCTCAAAGAAATCAAAACATATTCACACAAAAACGTGTAAATGAATATTTAGAGCAATTTTGCTTTTAATAGCCAAAAAAACCTGGAAATAATTGATGTTCTTCAATGGATAAAATGTTAAGTAAACCCTAGTACAGCTAGGCCATGAAATATGCTCAGTAATAAAAAGGAACAAACTATTGTTACATGCCATCTTGGATGCATCTTGAGGACATTATGCATAGTGAAAAAAAGTCAATCTAAAAAAGATACCTACTGTCTGATTCCATATACACCATCTTTGAAATGATAGAGATATAGCAATGAAGCAGAGATCAGTGATTGCCAGGGCACAAGGACCTTGAAGGTGGAGTGGTGTGACTCTGGAGGTAGTGTGAGAGAGCTCTTCTATGGTGATGAAGCAGTTCTGTGTATCACAATGGCCGTGGAGGTCACACAAATCTATGCATGGGGTGAAATCATATAGACAGACACACATGCACTCATCAACAAATGAATTCTTATACAAACGATAAAAACTGAGTAAGGCTTGTAGTCTAATGAACATTATTATGCCAGTGTCAATTTCCTTTTTTTATATTGTACTACAGTTCCATAAAATGTCATTTTTTTGTGGGAAGCTGGGGAAAGGGTTCTACAGACTCTACTTTTGTAACTTCTTATGAGTCACTCTTCTTAACCAGGGTGGTTATATGAGATCAGGAGAGATGGGCTACTTAGTGGGTGCCTGTGCCAACTCCATGGATCTGCTCCTGTCTCCCACACAGTGCAGGAGTTTGCTTCTACCCCCTCACATTTTCTGTGAGAGCAGTATAAAGCATGTGAGAAGAAGAGGAAAATGACTCTCCACTGAGAAGCCTTCTGGTCTGGTTTGAGGAAAGTCCAGTAGTGAACCAGAGTAATCAGGAAATAGTCATATTTATTTTATAAATCCAGAGCTTTATTTTTATGAGGAAACAGTATAACTGCACACAGTTTTTTTTTTTTTTTTTTGACAGTCTAGAACTCTGTGACAATTGAAGGAATCTTGTTCGTTTGGATCAGGAAACCACAGTGCAGGTCCCTGATTTACTTTGTGGAGGTCCCTCAAATTCTATGGAAAGGACCTAGGTGAAAATAAAGTAGCTCTGTTCTCACCAAGGCTTCCAATCCTAAACCTAAGTAGTGATTCTGTCACTAAGGGCAGGAGGAAGTAGTACCATGTTCTTCGACTTCTTATTCTTCTGATCACAGAGTTAGCTGGAGTCAAGGGGCAAAGACTTGTGCACTTAAAAGAATGTCAAATTGTGTCATTACCTGGTCTTCCGCTGTCCTTCTGGTTCCTTCCCAGTAAAATTTGATTACTTTCTCTCATTGCTGGCTTCTCCTCTCACCCCTGAGATCCTAGTTTTTCCCCAAATTCTTCTTTCTCTGGAAGGAATCTTGGATCCCTTTGGGGGTTTAGTAATGGGGGAAAATCCAGCTTCTATTATAGAATTGTCAGTTCCTGGGTCTCAGGGAGGCCATACTGAACTTTGTGCTCATCAAATAGCTTGCGCAAGGAACTGGTGTAGAGCGCATGGTACTTGTCCACTGTCTTCTTGTCTGGTTTCTCAATCTTGGGGATTGGCAGGGGCTTCCCAACTATGGGGAAGGAGAAGAGCCAAGCATTAGAACCCCATTCCCAGCAAGGAACTCAAACTACTATATCTGAGAGGGAACCATGCACACTTCCCTTGTTCTTTTCCTCTGCTCCAGCCCCATATGGGTCCCACATTCTCCAAACACTAAACTCACACATGCAAGTGAGAATTAGAGCAAGCTCAGGAGAGTGTTGGAGGGATGCATGTGAACAGTGACACTCTTGTGGCAGCTGTTGGACTCTGTCCCACCCAGGAATGACTACAACTCTTACTTAGTTGTCCTCCCCTCCCTGCTATCAGCCATACCCACTGGAATTTGCACAGCCCATGCCAGCTGTGTAGTGGGTCCCCTGGGACATGATGACCTGAAGTGGGGGGGATAAGGACTAGGGTGATCCAGAGATACTAGAAAACTCACCAACAGTGGTAATGGGCCGGTTGAAAGGCAGGAAGCCCCAGGATTCCCGAGTGAGGCCCCGTCCGTGGAAGGTACAGAAATTTAGTCCCAGAATTTTTTTCATTGTAGCCTGGAAGTATTTTTGGAAGAATCTTTTCCATGTGCCCTCAGGGAAGGTCTCTTGATTGTGAACATCATTCTCTCCAAAGGAATAGGAAGGGACAAGATATGCTCTGCAAAGAAAGGGGAAAATTGTAAGTTAGAAGCTTAAAATGGAAGCTCCCTCAGTGAAACCTTCTTCATAGAGGGAAACCTGTCTGATTGCCACATACAGGACAAGAACACAAGCACTCAAACATCTCCAGCCTCATGTCTCATTCCTGCCAGGTGCCACCTCCCCAACTGACCCTTTTGGGGGAAGCTGTAGTGCCTTGTACTGTAATGGAAAGAGACTAATCTCAGGTGATCTGCTTTTACATACTCAGCATCCAGAGTGATCTTCCTAAACTGCGTATGACTCACGTCACTCCTGAATACCAGAAACATAATGTTGTAATGCAGTATTGTTTCAGTTAAAGAAAACCAGAACTTAAAGGACTGATCACAAAAATCTACAAAGAGCTGATGAGACTCAACAAAAACAAAGAAAATAATCCAGTCAGGGCCTCCCCGGTGGCGCAGCGGTTGAGCGCTGGGTTGCGAAGCTGCCCGCGGCCTCTGCGGCGCCGGTTCGATCCCCGGCTGCTCCCCGGCCACTGGAGGAGGGTCCTGCATGGCGCGCAGACCTCTCCTGCCGCCCGCTGCTCCCCTCAGCAGTGTACTTCGGTCCTTCTGTCTGCTCTGCTCCCCGCTCTGGCTCTGGTGAGTTCTCTCACCCTCCCGCGCTTCTGACTGTACCCAGTGCATGTATAAACAAAACAAACAAGCAAACCAGCAAACAAATAGATAAAGCATGCCTCTATCAAAAAAAAAAAAAAAAAAAAAAAAAAGAAAATAATCCAGTCAAAAAATGGGCAGAAGAGCTAAAAAGAAACTTCCCCAAAGAGGAAATGCAAATGGCCAACAGGCATATGAAAAAATGTTCAACATCACTTGTAATCAGGGAAATGCAAATCAAAACTACCATGAGATTCCATCTTACACCAGTGAGAATGGCACATATTAAAAAAACTAGCAACAACAAATGTTGGTGAGGGTGTGGAGAAAAGGAACTCTCCTGCACTGCTGGTGGGAGTGCAAACTGGTCCAACCACTATGGAGAGCTGTGTGGGGAGATTTCTGGACCTACTAAACATAGAGCTTCCATATGATCCAGCAATTCCACTCCTAGGTATTTACCCAAAGGACACAGAAACATCAATTCCAAAGAACACCTGCACCCCTATGTTTATAGCAGCACTATTTGCAATAGCTAAGCTTTGGAAACAACCCAAATGCCCCAAAATAGATGACTGGATCAAGAAGATGTGGTACATATACACCATGGAATATTACTCAGCATTCAAAAAAGATAAACACATACAATTTGCAACAACATGGATGGCGCTGGAAGGGATCATGCTCAACGAAATAAGCCAGAAAGAAAAAGAAAAATACCGGATGGTCTCACTCATAGCAGGAATCTAGAAAACTTAAATAAGGGACCAGGAAAATGAATAACTATAAGAAAGTGAAAATCAAAATCAACGGAAAACTATGAACCAGAGACACTTTTTGGGGGGTGGGCGGTGGGAGGGGAGGGATTGGGGTCAGAATGGGGGGGTTGCAATTGTATGGGGAATATAAAATTAAAATTTATTATTTAATAATAATAAAAAAAGAATTCTGCAAAAAGCAGTGAAAGCAGAATAGATGAAATGGAAAAACAAGTACTCTCGAAGATGCAGAAATTAAAGAAACATAACAGAAAAGGAAAGAGAAGTACGAAGGTAAAAGAATGAAGCAAGACTTTGGGAACTATCTGACTCCATGAGGATTGGAAACATAAGAGTTATAGGAATCCCAGAAGGAGAGGAGAGAGACCTAAGAACAGAGAAATTATTTGTGGAAATAATTGAAGAGAACTTCCCAAACATGAAGGAGCTGAATATAGACATACAAGAAGCAAGAACACCAAACTTCCATGATGAAAGGAAAAATACAGCAAGACACATAATAGTAAAGCTCCCAAGAATCCAAGAAAAGGAAAAAAATACTGAAGCTGACAAGAGAGAAGAAACAGATAGCATACAACGGAAAACCAATCCCGCTGACATCAGACTTCTCTGAAGAAACACTGCGGGCAAGGAGAAAGTGGAAGGACATAGTCAACAAACTCCAAGACACAAATGCCAACCAAGAATACTCTATCCTGCAAAACTTTCCTTCCTCTATGAAGAAAGTATAAGGGCCTTCCCAGAAAAAAAGAGATCTCCAGAATTTCATTATGACTAAACCCCCACTCCAAAAAATACTACAAGAAGTCCTAAATCCAGAAATCAACAGAGGGATGAATAACAACAAAACAAGACTCAAAAAAAATTAAAAAAATAAATAAAACCAGAAAAAAGACAAACAAAATGGCAAATACAGACACTAACATATCAATATTAACTCTAAATGTAAACAGACTAAACTCTTCAATAAAAAGACACAGGGTCACAGGCTGGATTAAGAAATAAAACCCAACCTTCTGCTGTCTCCAGGAAACACATTTAACTACAAAAGATAAAAATAGACTGAAAGTAAAAGGATGGAAAACGATCCTACAAGCAAATAGACCAAAAAAAGAAGGTAGGAACAGCTATACTTATATCAGATAAAACAGATTTCAAACTCAAAAAGGTAAAAAGAGACCCAGACGGTCACTGCATTATGATCAAGGTGACAATAGTTCAAGAAGAAATAACACTCATTAACATATACTTAGCAAACGAAGGAGCAACAAAATATATCAGACAACTATTATCATTTCTGAAGACCAATTGCAAGCAGTGAAATTGAAATGTTAATCAAAACCATCTCCCCCAAAAAAGCCCAGAACCAGATGGATTCACAAATGAATTCTACAAAACATTCAGAAACGAACCACTGCCCATTCTTCATACACTCTTTCAAAAAATTTAGAAGGAAAGGATAATACCAAACACATTCTATGAAGCCAACATTAACACTAATACCAAAACTGAACAAGGACAACACCAAAAAAAGAAAACTACAGGCCAATCTATCTAATAAACACATACGCAAAAATCCTCAATAAAATTTTAGCTAATAGAATCCAACAATGTATCCATAAGATAATTCACCACGACCAAGTAGGATTTATTACAGGGACACAAGGATGGTTCAACATCTGAAAATCAATCAGCGTAATCCAACACATCAACAAAAAGAAATATAAAAAACATATGATGATCTCAATGGATGCTGAGAAAGCTTTCAACAAAGTGCAACACCCATTATGATAAAGGCCCTTGGAATTCTCGTGATGCAAGGAACATACCTCAACATCACAAAGTCCGTTTTTGAAAGACCATAGCCAATATCATTCTCAATGGTGAAAAGTTGAAAGCATTTCCATTAAGATCTGGAACAAGACAAGGATGTCCACTCTCACCACTGCTTTTCAATATAATATTGGCAGTCCTAGCTAGAGCAATAAGACAAGAAAAACACATACAAGGGATCAAAAAAGGGAAGGAAGAGTTAAACTATCACTATTCACAGGTGATATGATAATATATAGAGAACCCAAAAAACTTCAGAGAAAAACTAATCAAACTAATCAACCTGTTTAGCAAGGTAGCAGGATGCAAACTCAACACACGAAAATCAGTAGCCTTCCTATACACAATCAATCAATCTGAAGAAGAAGAAATCAAGAAACCATCCCTTTTATTATTGAAACAAATCAAATCAAATACTTGGGAATAAACCTAACAAAGAGGTAAAGGACCTATACAAAGAAAACTATAAAACACTGTTAAAAGAAATAGAAGACACAACGAAATGGAAAGACATCTCTGGCTCATAGATTGGAAGAATTAACATTATCAAAATGGCCATCCTACCAAAAGCAATTTGCAGATTTAATGCTATTCCAATAAAAAATTCAATGATATTCTTCAAAGAAATAGAACAAATATTGATGAAATTCATATGAAGCCACCAAAAACCCCGAATAGCCAAAGCTCTCCTGAGAGGAAAAAAACAGGGAATGGAGGTATCACACTCCCAGACTTCAGACTACACTACAAAGCCATAATAATCAAAACTGCATGATATTGGAACAAGAACAGACACACGGACCAATGGAACTGAATAGAAAACCCAGAAATAAACCCACAGATCTATGGTCAACTAATCTTTGACAAAGGAGCAAGAATATGCATTGGAGCAAAGAAAGTTTGTTCAGTAAATGGTGCTGGGAAAACTGGGTCACTACATACAAAAGAATGAAGCTTGACTACTACCTCACACCATACACAAAAACCAACTCAAAATGGATTAAAGAACTAGACATAAGACCTGAAACCATAAAATATATAGAAGGACATATAGGTGAAACACTACATGACATACACCTTAGCATCATCTTTAAAGAATCATCACCCAAAGCAGTGATAGTGAAGGCAAAGATAAACAGCTGGGACTACATCAAATTAAAGAGCTTCTGCACAGCAAAAGAGACAGTAACCAAAACAAAGAGATACCCCACGGATTGGGAGAAAATTTTTGCACACAACAGTAATGATAAAGGACTGATCACAAAAATCTACAAAGAGCTGATGAGACTCAATAAAAACAAAGAAATAATTCAGTCAAAAAAATGGGCAGGGGGGTGTCCTTGGTGGCTCAGGTGGTTGAGCCTTGCATTGTGAAGCTGTTGTAGTCTCTGCAGCAAGGATTCGAACCTGGCCGGCTGGCGAGAATCCCACATGGCCCGGCAGATCTCTCCTGTCTTGCCCACTGCTCCCCTCAGCAGTGTATTTCATCAGTCTGCCTCTTCTGTTTCCCACTCTGTCTCTGGTGAATCCTCTCACCCTTTGGTGCATCTGGCCTGTACCCCAGTTCTTGTATAAATAAATATATCTTTAAAAAAATGGGCATAAGAGCTAAAAAGAAACTTTCCCAGAGAGGAAAAGCAAATGGCCAAATAGGCATATGAAAGAATGTTCAACATCACTTGTAATCAGGGAAATGCAAATCAAAACTACAATGAGATACCATCTCACACCAGTGAGAATGGCACATATTAAAAGAACTAGCTACAACAAATGTTGGCCGAGGATGTGGAGAAAAAGGAACTCTCCTGCACTGCTGGTGGGAGTGCAAACTGGTCCAACCACTATGGAAAGCTTTGTGGAGATTACTCAACCTGCTAAAGATGGAGCTTCCATATGATCCAGGAATTCCATTCCTAGGTATTTACCCAAAGGACACACAAACATTAATTTGAAAGGGCACCTGCACCCCTATGTTTATATCAGCACTCTTTGCAATAGCTAAGCTTTGGAAACAACCTCAATGCCCAAAAATAGATGACTGAATCAAGAAGATGTGGTACATTACACAATGGAATATTACTCAGCAATCAAAAAAATAAACTCATGCCATTTGCAGCAACATGGATGGAGCTGGAAGGGATCATGCTCAGCGAAATAAGCCAGAAAGAAAAAGAAAAATACCAGATGGTCTCACTCATAGCAGGAATTTAGAAAACCTAAATAAGGTACCAGGAAAAAGAATAATTATAATGAAATAAAAATCAAAATCAACAAGCAACTCTAAACAGAGACACACTACAGGGGGAGGTGGGCAGGAGGGAGTAGGATCATAACAAGGGGGGGTGGGAATTGTATGGGGACTATAACCAAGATGAAAATGCATACATTTTGCAAAAATGAAAAATGATATAAAAATATATAAAATAAATAAAAAATAGCTATTTTAACTGGCATGAGTTAAAATCTCATTAATGTTTTCATTTGTATTTCCCTAATAATAAGTGATGTAGAACATCTTTTTATGTGTTTGTTGGTCATCTGTATGTCTTCTTTGCTGATACCCTCTTCCTATTTTTTAATCAGGTTATATGTTTTGTTGTTGAGTTGTAAGAGTTATTTATATACTTTGGATATAAACCCTTTGTTTGATATATGATTTGCAGATATCTTCTCCCATTCAGTAGGTCTTTTTGTTATCTTAATTATGGTTTATTTTACTGTGCAGAAAGAAACTTTTTAGTTCTTGATGTAGTCCCACTTGTTTATATTCTCTAGTATCTGTTGATGTTGGAGATGAATCCATAAAGACATCTTTAAGGGTGATATCAAAGGGCTTATTATTTATGTTTTTCTTGATATATTTATAGTTTCAGTTCTTATATTCAAATATTTATTTCATTTTGAATTAATTTTGTGTATGTGTAAACTAGCAGTCTAGTTTACACTAGACTGAAAAGAATATTTGTTTCTTTTGCAGGTGATTTTCCACCTTTCCCAACACCATTTATTGAAGTGATTTTCTATTCTCTATTGTATCATCTTGGGTATTTTACCATAAATCAGTTGTCCATATCTGTATGGTTTTATTTGTGGAATCTCAATTCTGTTCCATTGAGCTGTGTACCTGTTGTTCCAATACCATACATTTTGGATGTCTGTTGCTTTGAAGTATAGTTTAAAGTTGGGGAGCATGATGCTTACATTTTTGTTATTTTATTCTCAGGGTTATTTCAGTTATATGAAGTGTTTTTGTGGTTCCATACAAATTTTTGGATTTTTTTTCTATTTCTTTGAAGAATGCCTTTGGGATCTTAAAAGGGATTGCACTGAATGTATATATTGTTTTAGGTAGAATGGCCATTTTGCCAATATTTGATTTTTATGTTTCATGAGCACTAAATGTCCTTCCATTATTTTTGGTATCTTCTTCAATTTCTTTCAAAAGTGTCATAGTTTTCAATGTACAGATCTTTATTTCCTTGGTCCTATTTATTTGTAGTTATTTTTGTCTTTTATATGATCATAAATGGCATTGTTTTCTTTATTTCACTCTTTGTTAACCAATTGGCTTCATATGTAAATGCAGCAGATTTTTGTTTATTTATTTTGTAACCTGCACCCTTACTGTAGACATTTATTATTTCTAACAGTTTCTTTATTGGAGTCTTTAGGGTTTTCTATATATCATGTCATTTGTGTACAGTGGCAGTTTTACTTATTTCTTCCTTATTTGGTTACCTTTTATTTGTTTTTCTTTTCTAATTGCTCTATCCAGGACTTTCAATACTATGTTAAATAATAGTGATGAGAGAGGGTATTCTTGTTTTGTTCCTGATCTTAGAGGAAAAGCCTTCAGAGTCCCCATTGAGTATGATGTTAGCTGAGTTAATTATGAAAAAGCTTTTTAGTTCTTGATGTAGTCCCACTTGTTTATATTCTCTTTTGTTTCTCTTGATGTTGGAGATGAATCCATAAAGACATCCTTAAGGGTGATATCGAAGGGCTCATCATTTATGTTTTTGTTGATATATTTATAGTTTCAGTTCTTATATTTAAATATTTAATTCATTTTGAATTAATTTTGAATATATGTAAACTAGCAGTCTAGTTTGTCTCTTTTGGCTTAATTGTCTTTAGGTGTGGATCTGACACTTAATATGAACATTCTGCCTACAGTTGAGAATAGACTCTTGAATGTGGGGGGTGTAGGAATTGAAGCAGTGAAAGCAGTTAGGAGACTAGTGCAATAATCCAGGAGAGAGATGTTGGTAGTTTAAATCAAGAAATGGTAGTCAAGATGGTAAGTGGCTGGCTTCTGCACATATCTTGTAATTGTATGTACATGTCTATCTTCCCCTATTGGACTCTGAGTTTCTTAAAGGCAATGTGCAGATCTTATTTTCTTATTTATTTTTTATATTCTCAATGTTTACTAGTATGCCAAACACACAATGGGTGTTCAGTAGCCACTGAATGAATTCTTTCTAGTTTCTCAAAGCAAATTATATAATCTTTGGGGTGGGGGACAAAAATCATGCTTATTTAACTTTGCAGTCACCACAGCATTAGGTCTAGTGTCTTCCTTGCCCTTGGTAGGTTTTCTGGGTCTCTCGTTTAATGGGTTGATACAGAATGAAGCTCCATTTCCCCAAGCCCCTAAGCTACCAAGCTAAAGGGCAGAAGTGAAAAGATTTCTTTTGTTCTTTTTCCAAATTAAAGTAAGAAAAGTTCCTACTGAAATGTGTCTGGAGGCCCAAATACCCTAAAGGCCCAATGTGAGGGAGTAGAGAGAAGCAGAGTGAAGAGGGAGCCCCCTATAACATGTTTCCAAAGGAGGTCACCATTCTGGAGAAGTGCCACAGAAGTGTCAAGGCAACCTTGATAATAAGGAATCAAAACTTAGGGACCCACCCTGTCTTCAGTGCCAGCTTCACAAAACCTTTACGCCGTGTAAGGATGATGGTAGAGGCTCCTGGTCGGCACAAGAGGGCTTCAGCAGCTCCACCCACCACAACAATCACGGCATTGCCTGAGTTGTTCTGGGTCAGCAAATACTTCAAGGCCACCTCACTCACTGGGCATATACCTGTGAAACCAAGAGTCAAATAGCATAACAAACTTGGCTCCTGAACAAGGGCTGAGGGGTTCCTCCAGGCTCTTCCTGCTGGAGATAGTTCTTCTGTTTCCTGACTGGTTGTTGCTTCCAGCCTTCTGTCTTTGGCCTTCATATCCTGGGTTAGCCCTAGCCTGTGGTTGGCCCTTAGGGTAAACTGCTTGCCTTACAGGTCTGTATTACTACAGTTGGGACTACACTGAGTGCCCCTGCCTACTTCCTCTTATCTTAGTATTTAAGCACATACCTTTCCTTTTCAGCGCATCCCATGAACCACAGTCATCTTCCAGTCGCCCCAGACTGACAGCTCTGGTGACTCTCCAGAGTTCCTTCCCCCAGGGTTGGGGGAACCAACCTACTATCTCCCTAACCTGCCAGATGTGAGCCACTGCTTGGGGTTTCTGTAGAGCAGGCAGATCCAGGATCCTGTCCAAACCAAACTGAATTGTATATGAACCCTGGAATGAGGATGACACCCTGTTGCTTGACAATAGAGTCTTTCCTCACTGCTGCTTCCCGCCTTTGCCCTGTGCTTACCTTCTATTCTCCCTGGGATGGCAGAAATTTCCTCCAGCCCTCAGCCATTGAGAGAGACTGCTGTTCCAGATTCATGACAACCTCAGAGAGCTTCCTCTCGGACACTAGTGATTTACCTGGTCCCTCCAGATAAATGCTATCTTACCATTTAATGTTTGGCTTCATTTTTCTGGTATCCAGGAGGATAAATATTCAACCCAGGGAGAAGGACTTCCTTACAGTACCATGGCTTGAAGTCTGGCATGGGAAAATTGTCTTGGGTTCTGCTGGATACCTGCTCTTTACCCCTTGAGGTCTTTTGAAAATTTGAAGGGGTTCCAAGGAGGGACATTAAGGTCATGGGGCAGGAGGGGTACCAGCTAGTATGAGAGAAATTAACCTGTCTTTTCGATGTCCTGAGATGAGAGCTTCTCTATAAACGACAGGCTTAAAGAAGCTGGCTGATATCCTGGAAAGAATCCGGAAACATTCTTTTGAGTTGCCTCATTCATGCCTGATTTCCTTACATTTGGGTTTGATATTTGGCGTTTGCCTTCTTTTTTCTACTTTGGCTTTGACTCTCAACTCTGGCCTTCTGGTTCCTCTTCCGAAAGGATTCCTGCAACTTTTGTGAATACTTAGAACTTACTCTGCTGTCTTAACAAACCCTGTGTCATGAATCTTGCACAAATCTCATGTTTGGCCAAGCGCTCTTATTTACTGGTCCAGTGATTTCTAAACTCATTTTCTGCTAAGTCCTCTTCTAACATCAAGTGACAGTTGGACTGATTGTCAGGTGGGACCCGAAGGTAGGTCAGAGAATTGAATTATATTGTATACTCACCCATTGACATCACATATTCTCGCACAAATGGGATCCAGAAGATCCCTTCCAAGGTCCCTAAAGAGGGAGTGATGTCTGGGAAAATCCGAGCAAAGCCAGAGGCCTCAGTGGCAAAGTTGATGAAGACACCGTAGGAGACAATACCGTGGGGGTGGTTGACAATGACATAGTTGTGTTTGGGAGAGAGGTCATGAGTCTTCACCAGCTGTTGAAGGGAGATGGAGTCAGAGCAGTGGGTGGATAATAGGGAAGAAAGGGCGTATGGACTCAAATCCAAGCCAACAGGTAGCCTGTGTTTCCCTTAGGGACCCGCAAATCCCTGTTCATTGAGATGTCATTAATTGTCATAAGATTGCCAACGGCTCTGATGCTCAGAGAGGCTGAACTGGGTTGGCCACTCCTAGAAAACACTGCCTTCCACCCACCTGCCCACCTTCCCACTCGTCTTGGGGACCTACTCTGCTTTATGCCTCTGGGCCTTGACCTGAGTGGGGAAGGGGAGCCCGGGCAACTGGGCCCAAGGGCATCTAGGCGAAGGGTGCTTACCTTCACTGGGAAGTAAGTTTGGAAATACTTCCAGAGGGTCCAGTTTCGTACCCATGGCAAACGCCTACCACCTGTGGGTACAGAGGGCAAGGGAAGAGGAGGTGGGACGTGGTCAATCCCTTTACTGCTCCTAGTGGTGGGAGGTTATTCCTACAAACCTCTGGTCACAAAAGAAGCCTCCTTACACTTTGATATTTCTAGAGCACACACCTGTGGGTGTTGTCCTAGACTCCAAAGCCCCTGCTCCTCTGGAGCCAGCTAGAAAGGTGATCAGAAAACAGTCTAAGACTGGAGGCACCTGCCTCTTAAGTTCTCTTAAGTTCTCAACCTCTTAAGTTCTCTCGGGCAGCCTGGCAGAGGCTTCTGCTCCTTGTTGAACTTTGCTCTCGCTTTTCATTTCCCTTCTCTCTGTCCCCTTAGCTTCTCTCTCCTCGCTCCCTCTCTCCTCCTCCCCAGTCCCTTATGTTCTTTCCACCCCCTGCTTTCTTCTCCCCCCCCACTCTCTCTCCATCTGCATCTCCCACTCTTTCCTTCCACCTCCCCCTCTTTGTGGTTCTATCTTTGGCTTAGACAGGGACTGCCACTCTGGCTCTTACCTAATCTGTGGGTGTCCCAATCATAGGTGAGCCAAGCAAAGGTGATCACAGGCACCATCCAGAACTTAGTGCATGCCAGAACCCAGGGAAACAAGGCAATAGGAATAGTTCCTGAGGGGGACACGAAGTGTTCATGTTATTCGGTGCCCTTCAAGTTTTAGTACACCTCTCATACCCTCAATTTCTGCTCCATACTGAAGGTCAAGACTGGTTCGAGACCTTTCTATCCCTTTTTCCCATCCCCTGCCTAGCTATGTTGTGATCTGTGTCCCCTTGTTGCCTGAGAAATTCACAGAGGAAACAGCAGAGCTGTGACATTCTCAGAGCAGGCCCTCAGCTGAAGTCCAGGGACAGCTCTACGTGGCAAGGAGAAAGAATAGCACCTTGGGTGGGAGGCTGGCATCTTCATACTGGGACCTCAGGAAGTCCTTTCTAAAAGATTGACTCATTTTGTTTTGTGAAAGTGCTAAGTCAGCACATACCAACAGAGGGGAGGCTGCCTGCAGAGTGTACAAGCCATTAGGTGTTGAGAGAACACATTAGAAACTGCATTCCTGTGTTCCATTTTGTCCTATTCAAAATGTCCCTAAGGTTCAGAAGGGGTAAAAATTGATCTCTGCTAGCAACTGGTTACAGTAGGTTCTGAAATACAAATGTGATACACCTTACGAGTGGTTTTTTTTTTTTTTCTTTAAAAATGTACTTTCATGAGAAAGCAGGGCTAAGTATACATAATGTGAATTAAAAAAGACCCATCTAGGAGAATGCCTTCTTTAACTTCTCTATATCACATCACAGAAGATAAAAGTTTAAGAAAAGGGGGTGAAACTCAAAAGTTGCTTACTTGCTGGTTTATCTCTTGCGTTTTGGACATAGGTGAAAATAACAGGAAAAAAAATGGAGTGGACATTTCTTCAAAAGTTCATGGTATGGAATAGAAGAAAGCTTAGTGATAAGCTGAATTTTGCTTATAAGAGCCAGCTGAGATGGTTGTTGTAAGCATGCTAACTAAGTAAGAGCTATTGGTGGAATCTTGCCACAATTAAAAATCTTGCTACCTCTGACCCTCATAAAAGATGAGAGTAAATTTGTGGATAAGCTTCAGAAGAAAACTCAGATGAAATTGAATAAGAATCATTACTAATTAGAGGTAGTCTAGGTATATCAGTTCTTTCATATCTTCAATAAATTTAGTTTTCTTCACCAGTATGGAAAACAGTGCCTGGGACTATAGTAGGTGTTTAACAAATATCTGTAGACTTATTGAAAGGTAAATATCTCTTTTCAATAATAGGTAAAACTTAAGTGATTAGTGTTTGGCCAGCATATGTTCTTTACATGCAATAGTATTTACAAAGAATAGGTGGATGTCTTGTGTGCCTTAAGTCCTTAAAAGTAGTCTAAGTGCCAATACTTTGAGAAACACCACCCCCTTGTGGACTCTATTTGAACTGCAGGCTTGGCAGCCCAGGGGACCCTAAATGTTTAGGAAAAGCCTGTTAGAACCAGTCTCTTTGACTATCATTGGTGTCACTCACAGTGATGGAAGTGAGATTTGAAGAGATGGCAGAAAAAGAGGCTAAAGATGCAACAGCTAAAGCTCATAGGAGGAGGAGGAGTTTTATGACCTAAAGCAAGGATATCTGAGGAAGGAATGATGAAGAACAATCACTTGTGTGTATATGTGTGTGACTCTCCTTTAGGTAATATGGCCTTAACACCAGAAGGTGGTGCTAACATCTTGTCCATATTCAAGTGAGGAGTCCTGGAATGAATTATGAAGAGGAAGTTCACATATGGTATTCTCCTAATTTAGTTTGTACTAGAGATGGCCAAACCATTGCCAAACAGGTGTGGTGAGGATTCTCACCATGATTTTCATTTTCCTAATATCTAACAATGTTAACAGTTTCATGAGTTTATCTCCTGTGTATTTTCTTTGGTGTGGTGTTTGTTCAGATATTTGGCCTATTTTTCAGTTGGGTTATTTCTTACTGTTGAGTTTCAATGGTTCTTTATACTTTCTGGATACAAATGTTTTGTCAGATATGTGATATACAAACATTTTATCTTTTTATTCTCTTAACTGAGCATTTCTTAGAACAAAAGCTTGATTTTGATGAAATTCTGTCTTTCAATTTTTTTTCTTTCGTAGATTGTGCTTTTGATGGAAAATCCAAGAACTCTTTAACTTCAGGTCATGAAGATTTTCTCCTATCTTTTTCAATGAAAATATTACAGTTTTGTGTTTTACATTTAGATCTATGATCCATTTTGTATTCATTTTTAATAAGACATGAAGTATTGGTCAAGGGTAATTTACTACCTATGGCTATCCAATTGTTCCAACACCATTTGTTGAATAGGCTGTCCTTTCATTAAATGGTTTTGGCATCTTGGTCAAAAATCATTCTGTCATCTCTATGTGAGTCTATTTCTGAACTTTTTGTTCTGTTCCAGTAATCAATGTGTATATTCCTTTGTCAGTACCTCATTATCTTGATTGCTGTCATTTTACACTAAGATTTAAAATCAGGTAGTGAGATTCCTCCAACTTTATTCTTTTTCCAAATAGTTTTAGTTATTTTTCTTAAAGATTTATTTATTGATGCATACAAGAGCTGGGGTACAGGCCAGAGGTGTGGGGGAATGAGAGGATTCACCAGAGACAGAGTGGGGAACAGAACAGGCAAATTGACTGAAGTACACTGCTGAGGGGAGCAGCAGGAGAGGTCTGCTACGCCATGTGGGTAGCTCCCTGTCTGGCCAGGGAGCAAATTCATGCTGCAGAGGCTTTGGATAGCTTCATAGGTTGCGTCTTAACCCCTTGCGCCACTAGGGAGGCTCAGTTTTTAGTTATTGTTGTTACTTTGCTCTTCTATATAAATTTTAGAATCCTCTTGCCTGTCTACAAAACTCCAGATAGGAATTCTGTAGCTTAAATTTTTAAAAAAGATTTATTTATTTGTGGATACAAAAACTGGGGTACAGGTCTGAGGTGTGGGGGGGGGGGTGAGAGAATTCACCAGAGACAGAGTGGGGAGCAGAACAGGCAGACTGACTGAAATACACTGCTGAGGGGAGCAGTGGGCGAGTCAGGAGAGGTCTGCTGCACCATGTGGGTAGCTCCCTGGCCTGGGATCGAACATGTGCTGCTGTGGCTGTGGATAGCTTCATAGGTTGCATCTTAACCCCTTGGGCCACCAGGCAGTCCCTGTAACTTAATTCTTTAATTTTGAAACTGCTTTAGACTGAAGGAATATTTGCAAGGATATTTTAACAAAATCCCTTATAACCGTTCCCTAAATTTGTAACCATTATTAACATTCTACATTTGATTTACCTTTGAATATAAGTGTGTATAGATTTGAAAGAACAGTGCAGAGATCACAATCCCTTTTCACTAAATATTTAAGTGTATATTTTCTAAAACAAAGACATTCTCTTTCTCTTCTAGCGGCCACAGTCTTATTACCAAATTTGGGAAATTTAATGTTTACGTAAAACTGTTATGTAATACATTCTGCTGGGATTTTTATTTAAATTGCATTTACATGTATAGATTAGGGAGGAATTGCCATCTTCCAATCAAGAGTCTTCCAATCTATGTACACAGTATGTCTCTAAGTATTTAGATGTTTAATTTTATTCATTAGCATTCTATAATTTTCAGTTTCCAAATGCTGTAAAGATTTTGTTAAACCTATTGATAACTAGTTCATTTTTAAAGGCATTTAAGTCGTATTGCTTTCTAAATTTCTATTTTCAACTGTTCTCTGCTAATATATAGGAATGTAGTTGATTTTTAGGTGTGATCTTGTGTCCTGTAACTTTGCTAGCCTCATTTGTTACTTCTTGGAGTCTTTAGAATACATTCCTTGGGATTCTCATAAGGAAAGTCATGTCATTAGTGAATAAAGATAGTTTTCTTACTTTTCAATATGTATGCCTTTCTTTCTCTTTTTTTTCTTCTTGTCTTACTGTACTTTCTGGGACTTTTAGTGTGAACTTGAATACAAATGGTGAGAGTAGATTTCTTTATTCTGCTCTCAATCTTAGGGAGAAAACTTTCAGCTTTTTGATGCTCTTTATTAAGCTGAGGAAGTTTCTGAAGGGTTTTATCATGATTGAAGATGAAGTTTGTCCTTTGACCTTCCTATATCAATCGATATGATTGTGTGTTTTTTTCTTCCTTACTTAGTTAATAAGGTAGTTTGTGTTGATTAATTTCAATATTCATACTGGTATCCCTGGGGTAAAGCCCATTTGGTCATGGTATATTATTCTTATAATGTATCCCTTGCCTGGATTTGCTAGTATTTTCTTGAGGATTATTGCATTTATATTCATGAAAGATATTGGTTGGTAGTTTTCTTTTTTGTACTGTCTTTTATTTTGGTATCAGGGTCTGGCTTCGTATATGACTTGGCAAGTGTTCCTTCCTCTTCTAATTTCTGGAATAGATTATGTAGAATCTGTGATATGTCTTCTTTAAAATGTTTGGTAGAATTGCATTTGAAACCATCTGGGCTTGCAGATTCCTGTTTTGGAAGATTCTTAACCTTCCAAATTTAAGATTTAATTCAACTATTTAAACTAATAGTTTTAAGCTATGTGATTTTGGGTGAGTTTTTGTTATTTGTGGTTTTCAAGGATGTCTCCAAATATCTTACTACACTGCCTATTTTTCTTTTCAGTTTTGTGAGTTTTGTTTAATATATTTTGAAACTCTGTTGTTTGGTGCATACATATCAGGTAGTTATATCTTCTTGGTGAACTGACCTGGTTCTGACTTAAAGAAAATTTTAAACCTGTACAGTCTTGAATTAATACTGATAGCTAGCTTAAGTTAAAGATGGTACCAATATGAATCTAAGTGAGTCCTTTCTTTAATCCAGTCATCTCTGATTCATCCCACTCACTCACGTTTTCCCATCTAATAGTGGCCAATATTCATTGTACATTCATTGTGTAAAACTAAGTTTTGTTTTTTTTTAAAGATTCATTTTTTTTTATTTATACAAGAGTTGGGGTACAGGCCAGAGTTGCAGGAGGGTGCGAGGATTCACCAGAGACAGAGCAGGGAGCAGAACAGGCAGACGGAATGAAAG